TTTTATTTCTTTAATAAATTTTAAGTTGCAACGGCGATTCTTAATTACGGAAATTGCTCTTTATGATATATTTTTTTCTTTATTAACAATTATTTGACTTTAAAGAAAATTATTTAATTGCTATTTTGACATTTATAAACGTACGAAATGAAAGTTTAATTAGGTTTTGTTTGTTTTTTTAGAGGAATAATTTCAGAAAATGCACATCTAAAATGAGAAATTTAACATTATATAAGTCATAACATCGATTTTTTTTTTGGTAGTAGCTTAATTAAGACGGAACGTTTTTGGATTGAAGAAGACACAACGTATAAATCTACTAGTAAATTTGGCATCGGTGCTGTATTTAATGTTTAACTATAATAATTTGTAACGATAATCTACTTTCTCAACTTGTCATATTTGTGATGAGGGAGAGTATAGTGGGTTACGTTTCTCTTCGATCGCGTGGCTATAATCCACACCAAGTTGTCAAGCATAGCATGAATTATAGCCACGAAAATCGAAAAAAATTCTAATAGCAAAACCTAAACGAAATTTTTCTGAATGCCTGAACTAATAAAATATTATGGCTTCTAAATACCAATTTGGTTTAAAAATTTCTTCCATTGATATAATACTTTTCGATAAACGAAGTTCAGTTTTAATCGCATATAATTAAAATTAATTGAAAAGTTTATTTTAATATCCATTTTAAACTTTGTCAAACATATCTATTGTAATAAATGTAAATCAATATACAGTAGATAGAAAACTTTCATTTCCAGAATAAATAGAGAATGTATTGAAAGAACTTGATGAACTTTGAATATTTTTTCGTAATCTAGAAATTTGAAAATGTCATAGAATTACTTTGAAAAGGAAATACTTTTACTAAAATCGCCATTCAAATACGGAAATCAAAACTAAGCTTTGCTTTCTTAATGACTTTTTCCTTTGTAACAGTACACCAGGGAACCATTTTCTACTTCCTTCTTTTCACAATTTCCTTTAGACTACATTACCTAATGAAACTTATAGTATCTGTCACTGAGACGTTCATTCCGGATATCTCTTCCTTATTTTTTTTTTCTCCTCCATTCCGTCTTCTGTTGAGACAACATTCCATTTTCTACACCAAATGCTATTAACTTGCGAATATATCTGATTAAGTATAAGTGCAGGAAGTGTTAATTTTCTTTCCGTGGGGATTTTAGTTTCTTTTTTTTATTTCTTGGTTAATGGTGAGAAAACATTCAAACTTCCTTTACTTTTATTAGCACTTCGTTTTAATGACCGATTTCACTTGTACATTTTAATGTTTAGGATTGTTACAATCTTCATTACGGTTTCTAAATCTATTGTAATGTTTCTTTCACTCTGGTAACATTTATAGATTTTTTTCCACACGAAAATCTTTATCACATTCATCTAAATATGCAATTATCTTTTACTTATATTAAGCTGATGATATTCTTATATTTAGTTATTAAATCTTATCTTGAAATTTACTAGAATGTAAGAACAAAATATGAATTTTAATATATAAAAAATTACTGTTATAGTTTAAAGCTTATTTTTATTAACACGAACTTTGACTTACTGTATATAAAGATTTATATAAATACATAAATATATAATGAATACATGAAAAATATAATTTGTTCAATAAACAAAATGTCTCTTTACTCAAAAAAATGTTAAAACTAAATCGTTCAGTATAAAATTTTATACTATTATCTGACGAGATGCAAATTTTTAGATATAAAAATAGAGATTTTTTAACTTAGGATTTCCAAATTCATAAAACTTCTATTTGACTTTAAATATTGGCTACTCTTGCTTGAGATATTAAAATATTTTTGAAAAATTTTGTAAGATGTCTACTTCGGATCTCGAGAAGAATCTAATGATATACATTTTATCTGATATTTTAATCAGAGGCATTCAAAATATTCGTTGGTTCAATATCTTATCATTATTTTTCAAATTCAAGTAGAGTTTTTTCCTTTTTAATAACATTGTAATGTAAAGCATAAGCTATTTTGTCACATTTGGATGATAAAAAATATAAAAAGTAAAGAAAATTATAACAAAATTACAAAAAATAGCTTAAAAAATCTTATAGTTTTCACTTAAAAAATACTTTTTAGCTTATTTTATCTCTTCAAATTGTTAATATTTTTATTGTTACACGAGACAGTTAATGTATTATAACTGTAATCAATAAAATATATACACTGTATTCAGTTTTAAATGTTAAAAATTTGAAATTTAATTTATTCTATTCTAAAATTATCATCATTATTACCACTAAGATATGATTTCTGCTCTGTACTGAAGAATAATTTATTAGTTATTTTGTTAGCAACACTGCTTCTGCCACTTTTGCACTCTTACCCAATGATTTACGTGGCCCTATTGACTGAAAAAAGTTATTTATGCTTAAGCTTGTCCTACTTTACTGACTCTTAGCCGTTTGCTTTTATCCGGATGGTATAAAATATTAAAGAAAATAACTTTATTCTGTTCCTTTTCTTCGTCTAGTCTTGTTTTGCATTATTACAATAGTGAATATGAAATGATTCAGTTGAGACAATAGTAAACAATATATTATGAACTAGAGATATTTTAAAAATTAAAATTTTCATTGTTTTATAACAATGAAAATTTAATTTTTAATATAGTAAAAATTTCATAAAGAGAGTTGATTCATTGTTAGCCATGTAGAATTTTGGAAGTTATCCAATGATTAGATTTTGGCAACGATTCAGTAATCATTAAATAGTTTATAATTTGTCTAATAATCGCGATTTTGATAGGTGATCGCCTTATTTATTTTTTTAAAAGAAGGAGGAAAAAAAATCCCTCGTGTACAAGAAGAAATTCCTACTCATTGGGGTATAAGTTCGGATGTACAATTTATGTTAAAGAGACTATCGAGAACATCTGCGCCAGAATCGAACTCGTAAATTAAAGACTAGATGTGAAAAGTGAAAGAAAAAGAAACTAGAAATGCGGAATTGCAAATATTAAAGCAGATAGATCATTGAATAGATTTATGTTGAAAATTTGTAAGCAAAATTTGATGTAATATATTTGCATCTTTTAACTTGCGAACAGAGTAAACTATATATATTTTCCACCCCTCTTTATTATTAATTTTATTTTTCAAACAATTCTACTTTCTTTTCTTACCATTTGGAATTTTTGATTAGACAATATGTAAGTCATTTATGATAAAATTCAATTTGCAATAATAGCCCATAAGGTATTGAGTTGTTTGTAAAATTAAATTAAATATGTAACCATAAAATATTTCGGAATATCTTTTGAGGAAATATATATATATATACAGTGAATTTTTTATGCTTAATTTTAATTACTCGCAGAATTGCAAGAGATGATAAATTAAGGAATTTAAATTAATATATATTAATTTTTATATAAAAAAGTTAATTAAATATTTTATTTAATTAACATCGAATTTATACTAATTAAAGTACAAATGTTATTTAATGAATAATCTTATTAAATTATCGAAATATTTAATTTTTTTTTAATGATAAACTTTATAAAATTTCAGGTGAACTTTTAAAGAAATTAAATATTTATATGTTAAATTAATCGTATTTTATGATATTTCTTTAATATAGAAAGAAATATTTTTTTAATTTAGATTTATTAATTTTCAATTCTTCATCTCTTTCATAAATTACAATTTATTTTATATTTATTTATTCATTTATTCTTACACAAATATAATGATTCTATGACGTATATTTTGACTTAATTTTTTAAATAAATTTCTCATCAAATTATTTATATTCAATTACTTTTGTATTTAATTTAACACAGTAGTAACGCTGGTTCTACAATTTTAGATTAAAAATAAATAAATCAATTAATTTTTACTGAATTTTTCATTTAAAAAGTATATAGGCTATATATTTTATAAAAATAAACGTATAAAAGATACATTTTTAATTAGGAAAAAAAAGTAATTGAAAATATTTCTGTAACATCATATGCTACATATGTATCATATTACACTTCCTGTACCATAAAGTTAGAAGTATTTAAATGAGATAAGCATTATCGTGATTAATTTTATTTTTATGTATGAATAATATTATTAAAAGTCTAAAATTTCATTACATTTAATCGAATTTATTAATTTTGTAAATATAATTCAAGCAAATCCTTGAATATATATCCTTGAATATACATACTTGAATTTACTTTTCACTTGAGTTTTCTTAGTTTTTGTAATATTACTTTTAAAAATATATTATAAAATAAATTTATAAATATATTTAGTACTATATTTTGCGATAAATATTGCAAAATATTAAAAAAAATTAATAATTTATTTAAAATTTATTAATATTTATGACTTAATAAATAAAGTTAAGTAAAGTTATTATTGAATATTTAGAATTTATGACTTTATATTAAAATTTTACAATAAATTTATATTTTAAAGAAATTTTCAGTTCTTATAAATTTACAATAATTTAAATGTGAATAATTTTAATTTATTTCTAATAATATTTATTTGTTTATTAAATTTTTAATGTAAGACAAAATTGGCATTCAATATAATCTTTTATTAAATAGATATATTTTTGTGAATGGTGAAGGGACCTTGTTTATGTGTTTTGATCTGTTTTTACATTAAAAATAATAAATATTAAAGTCAATGTAAGCAGGGACAAAAATATAAAACAAAATTGGGGTCAAGTAGGAGATGAAATAACTTTACAAAAAATCAATAGGAGAAAAGGGAAAAAATACCCATATGACAGATATGAAGAATATAAAAATAAATAAATAAATAAATAAATAAAATAAAACAGGACACGACATGATAGCTTTATAAATTTTTATAAAACATTTAAATTTTAAATATTTTTTAAGTATTGCAGAATCAATTTTTATATTTAGCAAAATTGATTAAATTAAAGGAAAAGTTTAAAAAGTTTTTGCTAAAATTTAATTACATTTTTCTTTTCCAACAGGTGCTATTTGCTCTTAATCAGACGTTACAGAGACACGAAAATGGAAGAATGAGTGACGTCAACATTTCTCAAACAACAGATGATCTAATCCTGCACTACAATTGTGGAGACTTAAATTCGGTAATTTTTAGTCAAGACACGACACAGTTGCCCAAACTGACCAACAGCTCCATGAAATCCGAGGATAAGGATGTTGCACGTGACATCGACCATTATTTCCGGGAGGAGCTCATCTTCAAGCGAAACAAGAGGATAGGCGATCGGGTCATTCAACTTCTTTTGGCTCATCCTAACGAAACCTTTTTCTTTGCATTTGGTGCAGGTAACTATTTACTGTTATATATATATATAAAAAACAGTAATTTATTATGGCTTAGTGTCTAATATAGCCTATACTTTTTTCTATTAAAAAAGAAAAAAAATAGTACTTTTAACCTTTCTTACGAAGACAAAATTGTAAAAAATAATATTATACGACTCAAAATTTAGTTTAAAATGAATATAATCTTATTAAACCGTTTGATTTTTTATTGTATTGCTTTAAAATTCATTTATATCGCTTTTTAGTTTAAAAAAATGCAGTTTTATGAGGATATAAAGTTATAAAAATGGTATATTATTTAAGTACCCTTTTATCATTTTAATTTTATAAATTTCTGGAATAATAATAATAAAGTTTAATAAATTTAATCCAACAATCGAGGTAATAAATATTATAATAAAAGAAAATTAATTAATTACCGAAAAAAATTCTTTAAAAAAATATATATAAATGTAATTACCAAATACAGAAGATAAATTTTCAGGATTATAAAAAAAGATAATAAAAAGTAGTTTACATTTAGCTCTCTACCTAGTAATAAAAATCAAATTTGAAACGAAAATATAAAAATCATAAAAATAATGTGTTAAGGGAATAAAATTTCAAATAAAAAAATACACATATCCACTCATAAAAATGTTTGATTTTTAATTTGATACACCATACATCATTCGCTTCCCCTAAATCAATATTTATTACTGTAATGCAAATATATAAATAAAATGTAAAATATGACGTGTCAGAAATTCAAACATTAAAAAAAATATAGATTTTTTTTTTAATTTTAATTTTCTACTAATTTTTCGAGATTCGTGATTTCATTTCCACTTTACTCGCGACGAAAGTAAACATGATTAATAGAGCGTGTGTTATTAGCCATTATTGGATTTGAAAACCGTGAGGGAAAAATCCCTTTTCCCTTTTACAGGGGGTTACAATCTATTATATAAGCAAATCCACTCGGTTTGACTCCATCTTAGCATATAGATTACGAAATGCGGCCATCAAGTTAATGGATCAGAAACGTGATTCAGTTCAAACAATGCTATCCGATATGCTGCACGATTTGTTGGAACGGTTGCAGATTTAACATATATTTTATCTATCACTGGGATGTCTCTAATGGACATCTCTAATGCTAGCATATCATCTTTAATCAGTCAGATTTTTCCATATATTGTACCTTTATCATTACCTTTTTCTACATTCTCTGATGGTTCTTCTTCTTCTTCTTCTTCTTCTCCCCAACTTGTACTTGCTCTTTTTTTATTATTATTTTTTTTCCAGCTTTTTTTTCTGTTTTATGGAGCGTGTGATCGAAAATTGTTTCTTAAAGTTGTTAATTTACTGCAAAAATTTTAAAGTAGAAGCAGAGACTTTAACAAGATTTATTTTTCTTTCTATTTTTTTACTTATTTGTTTAGTTATAATTTATAGTTATATTTCATATTGCGGATTTTTTTTAAATTGATTTTTAAAAAGTTAAAATTTTCAAGTTGTCTTCGAAATTATTAAATATGAAAGTAAACATTAAATATATATATATATATATAATATTTCAGTCTAAATTTGCATTTTGTTTTAATTTCTATTAGTTTTATATACACATTAATTTGAAAAATCGTGTGTGTAGTTTATACTCTTGAAGGACGTATAATTTAGTTATATAAAAAATATACTATAACGCTTCCTACTTATTTAATTATTGTACAAATTAAAGCTAACACAGTCAATTTATATTAAAAATAATATTTAATATGAACTACTCTATTTTGTTTTTTGTAAACAAGACATTAGGACTGCTTCGTTTCTGTTTATTTACACAAAAAACCGACGATTTTTTATGCATAACATCAATTTAACTTTCTTAAAAATAAATTATATTTAATTAAAACTGAAGATTTCTTTTTACGAAAGTCATTTTTATTTTGAAATTAAATTGACGAACGTTCTTCCATAAAATCTAAACAGATTAAAAAAAATACATCTAGAACTACCTAATTTACAATAATTTCCTTTGCATATTATTTAAGTTAAGAGTTAATTTATACGATTTATAAGAAGAAATGATCGAAAATTTCGAAGTAATTTCTTAAAATTCAAGAAGTAAATTCCGTTGTGGGGAGATTAACAACACTTTTCGTTCATATCTAACGGTATATAAGCTTCATTAAAATGGAAAAAGTGGCTATTTAATAGATAAAGAGGGGTTTACTATTGATGGAATACTTTTCAGTTGCAGCAATTGATTGAATTAACATGTTTGTTCTTCTCATATCATCAGAAAGTGAACAGATCTTGTTTGACTTAAACTCTTTACTTTAATCGAGTTAAACAAACCAACTTTTAATTTGATAGGCCTTTAGGGTCTTTACATTTGGTTACATAGCAATTAAACATTGTAATTTATTTANGAAATGCGGCCATCAAGTTAATGGATCAGAAACGTGATTCAGTTCAAACAATGCTATCCGATATGCTGCACGATTTGTTGGAACGGTTGCAGATTTAACATATATTTTATCTATCACTGGGATGTCTCTAATGGACATCTCTAATGCTAGCATATCATCTTTAATCAGTCAGATTTTTCCATATATTGTACCTTTATCATTACCTTTTTCTACATTCTCTGATGGTTCTTCTTCTTCTTCTTCTTCTTCTCCCCAACTTGTACTTGCTCTTTTTTTATTATTATTTTTTTTCCAGCTTTTTTTTCTGTTTTATGGAGCGTGTGATCGAAAATTGTTTCTTAAAGTTGTTAATTTACTGCAAAAATTTTAAAGTAGAAGCAGAGACTTTAACAAGATTTATTTTTCTTTCTATTTTTTTACTTATTTGTTTAGTTATAATTTATAGTTATATTTCATATTGCGGATTTTTTTTAAATTGATTTTTAAAAAGTTAAAATTTTCAAGTTGTCTTCGAAATTATTAAATATGAAAGTAAACATTAAATATATATATATATATATAATATTTCAGTCTAAATTTGCATTTTGTTTTAATTTCTATTAGTTTTATATACACATTAATTTGAAAAATCGTGTGTGTAGTTTATACTCTTGAAGGACGTATAATTTAGTTATATAAAAAATATACTATAACGCTTCCTACTTATTTAATTATTGTACAAATTAAAGCTAACACAGTCAATTTATATTAAAAATAATATTTAATATGAACTACTCTATTTTGTTTTTTGTAAACAAGACATTAGGACTGCTTCGTTTCTGTTTATTTACACAAAAAACCGACGATTTTTTATGCATAACATCAATTTAACTTTCTTAAAAATAAATTATATTTAATTAAAACTGAAGATTTCTTTTTACGAAAGTCATTTTTATTTTGAAATTAAATTGACGAACGTTCTTCCATAAAATCTAAACAGATTAAAAAAAATACATCTAGAACTACCTAATTTACAATAATTTCCTTTGCATATTATTTAAGTTAAGAGTTAATTTATACGATTTATAAGAAGAAATGATCGAAAATTTCGAAGTAATTTCTTAAAATTCAAGAAGTAAATTCCGTTGTGGGGAGATTAACAACACTTTTCGTTCATATCTAACGGTATATAAGCTTCATTAAAATGGAAAAAGTGGCTATTTAATAGATAAAGAGGGGTTTACTATTGATGGAATACTTTTCAGTTTCAGCAATTGATTGAATTAACATGTTTGTTCTTCTCATATCATCAGAAAGTGAACAGATCTTGTTTGACTTAAACTCTTTACTTTAATCGAGTTAAACAAACCAACTTTTAATTTGATAGGCCTTTAGGGTCTTTACATTTGGTTACATAGCAATTAAACATTGTAATTTATTTATAAAATATTTAATTTATTAACAAACAAAATATATTATTATAATCTTTTTTTAAAATATATTTATTTGATAAAATCTTTCGATTTAATAAGAATTATTTATTAATTATTGTATCATTGAATTCCGAAACGGCTTATGCAGTAACTGTAATTTTAATTATTTTCCTAAAATTCTTTGTTTTTTTTTATTTAATCATTGGAGATTAATTCTGATGATAATGAAAAGTTCGGGGCGAGTTCTTTAATTAATTCATGAAACGTGTGTTCTTTATAATTACATAAAAAATGAAAAATGTCGGATTTATATAACAAAGAATATATTAAAAATAAAAATTAAAACAAAAATATAATTAATATTACTTAAATATAATTTTTTTTAAAAAATAGTCATGAAAACAATTTAATCGGTTTAAAAATCTAATATTTGTAATTTTTAAATCCTGTAATTAATTAGTGTAAGTGGAAATTTAAAAATAATTTTACAAAAATTACAGAGATTTATTTTTTCTAAGTCACTTTTCAAAACAAGGATTAACTTGAAACTTAATAAAAGTACAGTAGTTGATTTCTAACGTTGAGAATTACGTTACTTTTTTAAAATATTTAATATTGTCATCAAATTTATTTATTTAAAGCAATTAGAGACCTTTAAAAGGAATTAATCATTATATAATTCAATTGAATATATAAAGTTTTATGGAAGCGAGAAGTGTTTAAATTTTCAAAACAGTTTCTTCGACTTGACAAACTGGAAATCATTTTTTATATATATTCGATCTCGAAAAATTTCTGTACATTTTGCCTCAATGGGGATTTTGTAACATTTTCTAGAGGAAACAGTTGAAATGTTCAGAAAAAATCATTGAGAATTCTTTCTTTTTTTTTGTTCCTTTGGAAATCCATTACCTCTTGGGAACGAAACATTACTTAGGGGGGTACTGATTCTTAGAGGTTCTCGGTTCGAATTCCTTTGATATTCTCTAGAAGTTTTTTTTTGTGTGTGTTTATTTTGTGTTTACTTTACTCAAAAATAGAAGATTTGGAAGACTTTAATGAATTGTTGAAACTGTATTATCAGGAATTTCACTCCGTTTTCTTTCGTAAGTTTACAGATTATAGATTTTGTAGTTTTGTAGAAAAGAGATTAAAGTTTTATTTCTCAAGAGAATTCCTCTCCAAATCATGTTTAAAAATCGTAGAGCTTCCTTAAAACAGATTATATATATAATTTTTTTTATAATGTTCTATCCTCATCACGACGATTTTACTGAAAGTTACCAATAAAAATAATTGTGTATCTTCCTTTCACTTCATCACTCTTGTATAAGAGTGAAGTTTCTACGTTTTAAGAGTGTTTTGCAGTCATTTATAATATTATATTTCTGTATCCAGGATGTTCTCTGTAAATCACGTAGCATTTGGGAAAGTTCTGCCACCAGAAGGGACCAGAAGGGAATTTTCGTCATATATCTTCGTTGGCTGTCTATTAAATCTCTACTTTCCCTTTCCCTTAGCCTAGAGCGGAGATGCTTTAGATGGAAAATCGTAAAAACGTGATTGGGATAACATTTAGTTTGCAAAAGAAAAGAGGAAAGAAAAAAGGAATAGCAAATTTAACGAATTTTTTTTATTATAATGTTTATTTCATTACATTATATAAAACTTTATATTGAAGCTACTAATTAATTTATAAAATAAAAAGTTTTGTTATCGTTTTATTTATATAAAAATTTACTCTTAAAAATATTTTAAAATAATAATTTTGGAAAAGTAATTATTTACTTTGTTCCTGAAATTTTGATTTGGTTTTAAGAGAAGGAGAAGAGAGAGAATTGAAGAGAAGAAGGAAAGAGTTTAAAGTATTTTCTTTATAGAAAAATATTTTAAACTTAAAAGAAAAAAATAAATATTATAGATACTTTGAATAAATACATATTTTATTTCGGATTTATAAATATTTAAATTTAGTTAATACCGAAATATTGTTATAAAATGTGAGTGAGTGACGAATATGAGAACAACGTGAAAATCAATCAATCAGAATTTCGGTCAATTAAGGTTTGGTCGACTGTCTCATCTCGTTACCTGTGACATTTCTTCACTTCTACCTTTTTTTTTCCTCTCCTTGCTTACGTCCAGATTACGTCTTTAACTCTTTTCTTTCTTCTGTAATGGCTTTCTGTGTCGATCATTGGGATTGACGTAAGCTGCACTTAGATAAAAACAAATATCCAACAAACATTGTGGATAAAAACAAAATAAAGAAAGCAAAAGTTGATGTGTAATTGGAAAATGTAATTGAATCTCAAAAGATTTTCATTTAATAATTCCCCTTTCGATTTTTTTTCCTGTAAAGTAGATACAGAAAACAGTTTCAGTTCAAGGAACTGCACTTACTTTGTAATCTATAATGTAGAGGAAAAGGCAATTTTTCAAATGAAGAAGGTCGTGTGGTGAAAACGCCTCTTTTACACCCACTGAAATACGAGAGAGGAGAAGTGTTGACATGTTACAAAATACAGATAAAGTACCACCTGTTAAAATGTTTGTCGTTTGTGTTGGCTTAAAGAAAACACATCGTTTGTTTTGATTGTTGGAACGAATTTTTGATGTGAAAGTTTTTTTATTTATATATGTAGTCTATATATAAATTGTTTTTAAAAGATCGATCTTCAAGTAAAATCTTCGTTTACAATTACTCATTCGGTTGGCTTTCCTTTCCTTTTGATAAAAGTAATTAATGGTACTAAAGAAAAATGATTACACGATAAATGATCAATATATTTATAGTATCAACGAGAGAATTAATTAAGAATGTTATATCAGGGTCATCTTTGATATATTTTCGGTTATTTCCGGTATAATAAATATATATTTTTTATTTATATGACAGTATTTTATATGATTAAATTAATAAATTATTAAAATAAAACGATTTTAAAAAAAGAACAGGCAATTTTATCCTAGATTCGATAGGTCATTTTTAAGGGTCATCTAGCTTCGTTCTTTAATTAGTATTATATAAACAAAAGCAAAATATTATAACAGAATACGAATGGAAGTTTTCACTCAATTTTAAAATTAATTTTAAGCTTTGAAGTTGAAACATTTGTGAAAAGATGACTTGTCTCTCGAAGATAACGATTACAATCGCCTTGTTGGTAATATACATGCTAATTTACTATCTAAACAGTAAAGTATTTGGTTGATGTACTCGATGGTGCACCATTAAAACTAGATTGACTCTGTCCACCATATTCTCTTTCGGTTAATTGAGAAATAACTTATATGTGTAGTATCTAATCTGCCTACGAATGATGCACAAGGGAATTGTTCATGAGTGAACTTTAATTTACGAATAGATTAATACCTTTTAGCTAAAGAACTATACAAAAGTGAATTGTACTTTATAATTTATTTAAAAAATTAATATAATATTTCAAAAGTTTAAAAAATATTAAATAAATTATTGATTCGTGAAGATAATTCAAATTAAATTATCATTTGGAATTTAATGAACAAGCAATAATTGTTCTATTGTGAAAAATTATAATTATCATCAGTACAAGATAAGATATAATATGTTAATTATCTTTGTACAATTATAAAACATTAATAACCATTGAGGATTTAAATATTTCAATTAATTAATGATTTCTATATTTTCAAATCTCTAATTAATTTATTTATAAAACATAATTAACGAAATAGAAGTCATATTTATAATTAAAATTTTATATAAATCAAAGAAATCTTCTCAATTTACACTGTGTTAATATATAAATTAATTTATAAATAATTAATGAATAAATATGTTTATACAGTATTTAGAATATTTTAAAACTAAGTTATGATTTATTAAATTGCAATTATTTTGATTAATGCCAGTTATTTTTAATAAGGGAACGATTAATTTACTGTAATTAAATACAGTAAATTGTTACAAGTTCGAATTTGTATTTAGTGTCAGGTAAATGAAAATTGTTTTATTTAATTAAGTTTAAAGAAATTTTTAATTCTATTTTCTTCTTTTAATGCCATTAAATTAGTGGATGGGTCCACCCATTTAGAAACTTAACTCTTTAAAAGTTAATGAAGGGTAAAGACGGCAGATGTCGCTATAATAGAATTTCAAATTTCAAATTTTCACTTGCATATTAGAGAACTTTCTAAGCAAACTTTAACAAAAAAAAAAAAAGAGGTTATAAATTGTAAAAATATTAAAAATTTTAATTTTTCTAAGAAACAAATTAAATTTTTACAATTTTTATTATTATTATTATTTGAATTTAGGTCATTTTCTGGGCAACAATACCGTTTTGGATTTCGTCCAATCAAAAGGATTTCAAATTGATCACGTGCCAGCCAATAAAAAAATTCGAGGGTGAGTAGCCTATATACTGCTTTTTTTTCCTGTTTTTGGTAAGGTTATGACACTTTTCCAATTCTGCTTCATTTAAAGATGAAAGCCAAAATATTGAGCGAGGAAAGAAGTGAAATTAAAAAATAATTCAGGATCAACATCCGATATAATTAATTAACGTTAAAAAAAATTCATTTTAACTTATTAAAACCTGGATATTTTTACATCTGAGAGAGTATTTATTATTATGTTTTTAATTAAATTACTTGATATAACAATCTCTAAATTCTAGAATCATTTTTCTCTTCAAAAATTTAAAGATTTTAGCGAAGATAAATGAAATTTCATGTTAAATTTTAAAATCAAATACAGTAAAATTTCTGTTTAATGCTCGAATAAATGCGATTTTAATTCTAGAAAATTCTTATATAAGATTTTATACACAAATTTTAATTAATCGTTAAAACAAAGATATTTCTTCTTTACAATTTAGATCACTGAGCTGAAATTTTTACGTTGAAGACGTATACATCCCTACCGTCGCCCGTCTATCTGTCTGTCCTTCGAAAAGGAGTTAGATATATAAAAATCGAGACTAAATATGAAAACTTTAGGGGCCAGGGACTTCGTTAAACTATATATATATGAACTTCCGGTCTGGACGGGAAGTCACGCGATTTTTAAAAATTTAAACATGATTGTAGCCCAGAATTTTTACATTAAGAAATTAGCATCTTCGTTATTTGAATGTACGATTTTTAACCGTTTTAAAATTCTTACTAAAACAAAAATAAAGAAATTACTTCTTCAATTTTAAGCACAACACAAACAAAGTAGTTGGCTAGTGTCAACATGGCATGGAAGATGTCTTCCTGCTGAACATAATTACGGAAGTGGAGACCCGCTTTCGTCATTAGCAGCAGCCATAACGTCAAAGTGTTCATCATTTCTCCTCCGGAAGAAACTTTACTCCATGAATGACGTATCATCTAAAGCAACTTATTATTAAACGGCTTTACGAAATTGATGAAATGTGAGATAAATGAAATTTGCGTTTGATTTTCCTAAATTCTATTTCTTGGAATACTAAAAAAGAAGAAGAAGAAGAAGAGAATTTCGATTTTTAATTTCTAAATCATCCTGTTTACTACGAGAAGTTTGTACATAAATTTAAATGAAACTATCGAAGAGTTTGTAAAGTTATAGCTTTTAAAAACCTTGCTAAGTTAAACAAAGAATAATTAAAATTATAACACTTGTAGATTTCTACTAGGAGAAAATTAGAAAATATAAAATTGTTTATAAGTGGAATAAAATATAACATCGTTGCAAATTGTAGAGATGTTAAAGGATCAATACAGAAATATTATCACGTTCGTACTAATATTTTCGGTCAATAAAAGTGGAAAATGGTATGAATCCTCAAGCAATTACTTTGCTTTTGTCACGTTCTTTAACCTTTTGTAATGTTACACGGGGGATAGTAAATTTTCTAAACTCTCTTTCCGTGTCATATTCGGATATTTGTGAAAAGTATAAGTAAATTGTACGGAAGAACAGAACCCGGGGCGGAAGAACTTCTGATCGACTTTAGTAGAGTCGGCCGTTTAATTAGCAAATAGTAATTAACTTTAATTGGATATTTCAATGAATAATTAATTTAAGTAGTAAATAATGGTTGAATTATCATTAGCTTGTCTTCTAGAGTTTTAATTAAACGATTGTCGAGATAATCTTGCTTTTCCTTCTAAACAGGAAAAGTTTTTATTATTTCGACTTTGTGGAAAAAGCTTTTTTTTTTCTTTCTTTTTGTTTTGTTTCCTTTAAAATTGGTCTCCATTAAAGAAAATCATCAAGCGATCTCTTTTTGATCTTTAATTCTTTTTCCTTGCTTTATATTTTTCTTTATTTTTGATCAACGAGGATATAAAACTCTTCAAAATCAAACAGAGAAGAGGAAGAAAAATACAACAGGTTGAAAATAACAAACATATATCATAGAATTTCTTTATAAGAAGAAGATCAAGTAGATCATACTACTTTTAACTATTTTTAAAATTAAAATCGTATCAACTTAGTTCAGACATACAATTATCAGTTTGAAAGACGTAAAGTATTCGTGAGAATAAAAGTATAAAAATATATTTTGTTTTCTTCAAACAATATTTATTATCGTATTAAAGTTTTCCTCATACAAAAAAAAGTGTTTAAATCCGCAATAAAAAAGTTTTGGGCTAAATAAATCAAACGAGAATCTTGTAAATTATATTTAAATATATATATTAAATACACTATAATAAATTTACGTTCAGATAGATTATTTTACTGTTTTTATTCATAGTAAATTTTAAATAAGTTGGTATATAGTAAAACTGTAATGCCTCTAAACGGCATTAGAACAATTGCTGAAAATTTGAAGAAGAGATTTTTAGGATAGATAAATCTATATAAGAACAGATTTTCGCTAGAAGAGTAAAATGTTATCAGAATCCGATAAACAAAAAAGGAAGAAATACCATTTTATTGGATCTATTCTCGGATAGTTAATCCCGAAAACTACACAAGCAGGGTTTTGTCCCGCAGGTATAGGACCTTCTGGATGAGACAACAATCGTCAACTCGATCGAGAGACTGGATTTAGATCTGCTGTCGACGACTACGACCAGACAACAGTATAATTTATGAGGCAAAGGCAGTAAAACTTTGTACGATAGGTACTAACGTTCCAGATATGTAGTAGTAGATAACGATCGCCGTTAAGGGAGATTCGGAAGAAGAAATCCTTCTTTGACAGTTCTTTTCGTATAAAATATCGTCAGTTTTACTGCACACACACACTCTAGTCTGTGTGAAGATGGTGCAAAAGATATTTTTCCGCTAATGCTGCCGAATATCGTGCTATTAGGTCTATAGTACTTATAAGTATTTGTTCAGTAGAAGATGTGGTTAAGAAAAGTGATCTTGATCCTGCAAACTGGTACGATAATTAATACAAGATAAACGTTATAATAAATTCTATAAATATATTTTATCCACGTGTTAAAACTGAATTACTTTCATGTAAAAAAAAAATGTAAGTGTAAAATAAATTTAAAACTACTCAGCTCTAGCATTAAAGCCTCATATGTCATACGAAGAACAACATAAAAATGAAGAATAGCGTGACTATAAATCGAATAGAAAAATAATGTGTTATATAAAGTTTGTTTTGTAATTCCGAACATTGCAATCTACAAAATTAAAGTTCTAAATATATATATTTTTTTCATTATTTGATGAAAGAATGCGACCTACTCACTTCCCTCATTTCTTCTGAAGATTTTATATTTAAAAAATAGTAATTTTAAAAAGAAATTGTATTCTATATACCGACCGATAGTTGAAAAACGTTTTTAAAATATCCAGATTTACCACACGTTCGCTTAAATTAAAGTTTTTTGATGTAACACATGACTGACACTATCAATTATCTTTCTGGGGAGTGGGTGATAAAAAATGGCATCCATCGATGTCGCATGTTGTGATTAATTAATGTTGTTGCTGACTAAATGAAAAAAAGATTCCCTGCTGTTTCTGAATTCTTTAATCTTTCTGAAAAAATAGAATAAGGGGGAAAAAATTTAAATACTGTTAATCGCAATTCTCTTCCTTACTTTTTAATACTAACTTTTAATAAATATTTTAAATAAAATATTAATGTTATATTTATTGGTAAATTAATAAGAATTTTAAAACTTAATTTAAAATTAAATTTTTATTGTTAGTGCTATTTTTTTCTCATAAGATATAACTTATCATTCAGCATCTATAGATAAAAACTGTATTCGTGTTGTATACTTTAAATAAAATAATATATTTTTAATAAATTTCTAAATTAATTTCAAGAATTCTTAATAAAGTAAGAATTTTTTATATTAATTTAGAAATTCTTACACTAAATTTAATTTTAGCAGTGTTTTTTTTTTCCCCTTATCCACGGAGAGCCATTGTATTATCCGGCAGCTACCAACGTTTCTAACGTAATGTTTATAAGACCATATATCTTCAAGCTTCTAAAATTTCACGTGAAATAAAATCTTTTTGCTGATAAGAAATAAACCGACGAGGGACTCGACTAAAATATAAAGTAAAATATATTTATCCGTGACTAATTAGAACTGCTTGTCATGTATCAACTTTTTATATCCTTAATCACGTCTAATCTTCTTAAATTAAAAAAAAAAAAACCTTCTTTAAATGATAATTATATAAGATATTTTTATAGGTTAATCTTCCTAATTAAGAATAATTTTTTTATAGATTAAGTTAAATAGAAAATCAATTATTTTTTAGGCAAAAGGGTCGAGATTTTAATATGGGTAGAATGTTAGCCGATTGGAATCAAGCCAGCGATCCTAACATACAGAAAATGAATGCTATTGACGTCATCGATGATGCTAGAAGAGGACATCACAAAAGAAGGCAAAATAGAAGATTAAGTAGTTCCAAATATCTAACAACAACGCAATCTCCCAACAAGCAAAGGATGTTTAATGATCTTTGGGTCAGGCTCGAAGCTGTTACAACAAGGTAAAAAAATGCTCCGAGAAAAACTTTCTTAGTTATTTTCTATCAGCTAAGAAGAAGGTAAAATAATAAGAAGTAAAAACTAACTTTACATTAATTAAATGAATAATTAAAGTTTTCATTACTTATTTTTGAGTAGAGTAATTACAATACAATTGTAACTTGAAAAGTGGGACTACATCATTGCAATTAAATTATTTTAAAAATCTACTTTATTTATTAATTAATAAAAAATGTTTATAATTTTAATTTAAATTTAATTTTCGTTTGGATTTTTGAATACATTTTATTACAATTTATCTTACTATAAACATATTACATGTCATTGATAAAACGTTCAATCATTGAGTTCTAAGAATGGAAGAGAAAGTTAAAATATTGTATAATCTTCACAGTTTTCCACCTCATTAATTAATTATTTCACAGCTGAAAACTTTAAGAATATGCTTTTTATAATTTAATAATTTATTTAAATGCATTCTGTTAAATAAAGGCGTGACCTTTGTCTGATGATAAAATACATTAATTAAGTAAAGTTTATAAAGAAATTAAGTAAAACAACTGCACAGATTTCCTTTCTCTAATTACTTGTTTTGAAAATTACTATCATTAAAAAACAAATATAAGCAATTTTTGTTCTACGAATGACCACAGAGAACAGTGTTCTCTTGTTCTCTTATATCGTTGTATAGATTACAAGGTTTATGGCTCTCTTTGAAACCGTTTGACACAAAATGTTATTTTTAACATTTCAGATAATGAATGATGCTTGATAATCAGCAGGAGATGTAAAATTATCCTTAGTAATCTTTTTATTTTAAGATTTAGTTCTATACAGTCTCTGTACTGAATTAGATAGATGATATCTAGTTAAGAGCTCATAAAGACTTTATATTTGGCCAAAAGTCAGTTCATCATTCCATAAAAGTTTCTTTTTTTTTTCTTTCTTTATACTGAAAGAGCGCTTTCTGATGCTTCTCTATTAATCCTGGATCAAATACAATAGCTTCCCTCTAAAAAAAATCTTACTTTTCTTCTCGATTTAAAGTATTTCGAAATCATTTATAAAGGTAAAAATTTGATTAAAAATATAAGAATCTAGTATAATTTAATATTACAAAGAGTCTTACGTAGGATTTATTAAAATTATTTTATTTTATTTTACTTTCAGGACTACAAAACCGCTTACTTCCAGTACAGATAAAGACGATGCCATGACCATTCAGAAAGCTTTACACGTTTGGTACGGATTAAAAAATTGTAGCTGCTACTTATCTAATTGTATATGGATAACAATACTTTTATTAAGTACAAGATGGAAATACGTATTAGCGTGATGCATCTTTAATAAAAATAATATCTAGAGATATAAGCATTTAATATATATATGGCGTGGAAATAATATCAAGGATGGAAAGGAGTAATTAAGAAAATTACATTTCGCTAATAAAAAAAAAAGTGAAAGAAATAAAATTCATTTAAAGAAGAGAGGGAAAATGTACAGTACATAAAAATGGAACTAACCAAAGAATCCAATTAAAATATGTACTAATTAAGTAATTAAGAAATGGAGTTCATCACGCTATTTTCCATAAAAAGAAAATGATGAGGATGAAGAATTCATGCACATAAATTTTCATTTATTTTCATTTATGGGAATTAAAAATATATATAATTTAAAAATATATATATGTGCATGTTTTTAATTTTAAATGTCTAATATGTTTGCTTCTTTTTTAATTTATAAAATTACATGATTTTTTGTAATTTTTACTCATAACTTACTTATATTTAATAAACGTTACTCGTAAAAATGTGAATTTTTTCTGAATTATATATATTCTATAATGTATAAAAAATTCAAGTTGTAATTTATAAATATATATACATATACATATATATATATATTTTTGTTGTAAAATTATAATAATAATTATAATAATAATAGTTATTATTGTCTTTATAGTGTGGTATTTTTTATTATTTTGTGAATTTTGTAAATATTACACAAAACTGTAAATTTATAGTCAGAGATATTTGTTTTAATAATAAGAAATATTAAAGGTCATTTTTTGAGCCTTTAATCTATGGAATCTGGTTGTTTTCACATAAAAATTATTTGTTCATTCAGATTTTCCTGGAAAATATATATAATAATTTATAATGATGAATTTAAGTTGTTTTTTAGGATGAAAATAAAAAAAACTTTTTATTAAAGTATATAATTGTTTGTTTTAATTATAATTTAATATCTTCAGCTTTAATATCTCTAAAATAACATTAATTTAATCATATTTTTTTTTCCGTTAAAATATGCTTTATCACCAGCTGAGGAGAACTGTAAATAAATTATTTAAGAAGATTTTAATAGAAATTGCTTATTATTATTTTCAGTTTTTAGGTTTAAAAATCTAAAAACTGAAAATAATAAATAAAAATTTATATATAAAATATGGAAAATAATACTTGATGGGGAATAAAGAATGGAAAAGTTCCTGTACGATACTGATACACTTCTTTGTGGAATGTAAATATTTAATGGGTCCGAAGTATTAAACGCTTTACTAAAAATGGTATGGAACCGAAAATGGATTTTTGAGAATGTTATCAGGAGACCAATTCTCCTGAGAATATGGTCCTTGGATCTTCACCAGATTTGGTAAAGAAAAAGCACTTAATGAAGTATTCTTGAGCTATCCTTTTACTTTTGTTGACCCACCATCTTCTGTTCGCAATATCCACTGTGTACCTACTTCTTCATCTCTCTTATACGTGAAAAATCAATTTTCAAGTACAATAAAGTTGACTTAAAATCTGGAAAATAATAAATAATGGAAAATAAACAATACCAGTGTGCATTATATAATAAAAAAATATATATAAAATCTTGGTTCACTTCATTCATTCAGAAAGCAAAGTTCTTCTTTTTTGTTAAAGGTTTTTTTTTATCAAAGTTTTTCAAATATATCTTACAAAACTTTACAGTTTTGATTAATAACTTACCGTAGATAGCATCATACAACTTGAAATAATTGAAAGTTCTTCGTAAATAAAATTTTCTTTTCTAACTCTTTGTTATTGTAATGGTTTGAAATTTAATGATCGCATGAACATGCATCATTTGATTATTGGAGCCTTTTCAAAATTTCTGTAAATGGTTTTCAAGTATCCTACTTTGCAAGTAGAAAATATTATCATAGTAATTGTCGTCAGAGGCAGTCATTTAAATGATTAAAGTTTGGACTGTTAAACATATTGGAATTTGTATCGAGCTCCTCCTTAGTACTAAGCTTAGTTTCTTTAAAAAATGTTTTACTAAGAAATAAACGAACAATATTTGATTGTAAATAAAGTTTATATTTTATAAAAGTTTTACTAATTATTTAAATTTTAACTTATCTTTCTCTTAAAAATAAAATTAAAGTATTTTTTTCTAGGAAGAAAAAAACGAATTTATTTTAAAATTATATATGTTACTTGTTAATAATTATAAATATTATTTTAAATATTTTTGAAAAAGTTACGAAAAATTTATTATTTATTTATTTTAAACACTGTACAGTGAATAAAATCCATTTAGACTTGAGATAACCACCCCCTATTTATTGATACAATAACCTGAACAAATCCATAAATAAAAATAAAATACGAGCTTAAAAATACAATACATATAAAATAAAATATAAACATAAAATAAACAATATACATGCTTGAATATAACTTTAAAAAAATACAATTTATCTTAATAATTCTTTGAATTTTTTCGTAAAATTTCAATTTTTAATTATTTTGAAGGTAAATTTTATTAACATCAAAATCGATTTTACGGTAGAAATGTTAATAAAATTCTTATTTTATTTTCGGAGGATTTACAGAAAAGAATTAAGTAAATACTAAATTTAAAATTATTTATAAATATATAATTATTAATTGTTTAATACAACAATTATACTTCATGCCAGAAACATAAATATATAAAATTTTAATCGCCACAAATTCCAGTAATATAATTGAAATTACTGTTTTGTCTAATTAAGAATTATTCTATTTTAAGATCATTTTATATGTTAATGTTAAATATATTAAGAATTAATAGCCATATCATTAATCATAAAGTCGTCCTTCTACCAAATAAACTTGAAACAAAAATCGAAGATGTGCGAGTAGAATTAATTAATTCAACAAACGATCATTTAATTGCTCATCCGAACTCCCTTTTCACATTATACCTTTGATAATTTAAAGAGGATTAAATGAATAACGATTTCTCATCAATATTTTCACTCTAACAAGCAATTATCTTAAGATGAAGAGACAGAGATTTTTTTCCCTGATCTTAAAAATATATATATAAATTAAAAAGAAGTAAATTTTTAACCAGAGACAATTATAAAAAATATTTAAAATTGGCCAAACTCTTTAATAAATTTAACATTTTACTTAATTAAATCATTTGATATGTTAATGGTAAGTCAGGTGTTCTTCACAGTAATTCCATTGTCCTTCTTGTATCATCTGATTTAATTAATTTAATTGAAATAATTGTAATGATATTTTTGAATTAAATAATATAATCTATTAAAAATTTTAACACTAATTTAAAAACTTTTATTAATAAAAGTTAATTCAGATTTATCATTTTGAATATTGTAAAACATAATTAACTACTTAGCATAGTTTAAAAATATTATAAAATATTGATATGCATAATATCTATATTTTATAAAACGAAGAAAAATCTCCTTTGATATCTTAAAATGTACTTTGATTTTGATAATTATTAAAGAAATATTTATATAATTGTTCGAGTAATACCTTATTAAATATGCAAAGAAGTGTTTAGAAATATCGAACTTAATATAGTGAAATAAATAAAATTTGTCATCTTATATCTGTCAAACTAAAAATAACTTCGTAAATTCAGTGAAACTCTTCTTGGAACCAGATCAAAAAATATCGTTTTCTCCAAAATATCCCAAAAGAGAAAAACTTTAAACTTAGAATTTAAAAAAAAATACACACGAATTCCAATAATAAATATTCTATCATACACATTTTTTATTTTATTAATGGAATTATTATTATTACAAATTTTATATAGTTGTTATCTGATTAAAAAATTATTAGATTCCTTTTATTAACATTGTATAATATTGATAACTAAGTTATTTTTTGTGTGACTGATAGAGTTTCATAACATAATATATATTACAATTTCATAGGAAATTACAAGAAAAAAAATTCATGAATTGCTCTTGTTTGTAATAAATGGACAACAAAAATTTAATTCACTTCTAAAGTTTCGTGAAATATTTAGATATAAACAGAATAAAACTGATTAGATATAGTATGAAAAAGATCGCATCCATACAGTCTATTTTAATATATTAATTTACACGCTCCCTTCTTATGAAGCTTCTTATTATTTTATTTTAAAAATTAATTTAAATTTTAAGCATGAATACAAGTAAAAATGTTTATATTATTTCTAATACATTCTTCTCTTATTGAGCTTTTAATATTGATTAAATAGAAGAGATCAATTTAATTTAATTGTCATTTTTTTAATAGATAATTATTCAATTTTTAAAATAATTTTCAAATGTAGTTAGCATACATCATTCTAGAAGTCTGTTAATTCATTTGTTAATTTGAATATTAGTTTATTGCGATTGTTGGAAATTATTATTGACGTATTCGTAAATTTGTGAATATTTGCCAACATTTATAATTTCAAAACACTCATGTTTATGTATCAAATTTATAATTGGTGCTAGTAATATTAAACATGTTCCATTTATATTTAGTTCCTACTGATTTCTATAGATGTAAGGAAGGAAGAGATATATTCTCTATTTCCTTTTTTTCCAAACAACTTTCTTCAACTTTAATTTGTGATTTCTTTGATTCTAGATAAATCTATTTTCTAACATATGTCAAGAAACGTTTCTATGTGTCAACTTTCCCAGAATTGAGGTTAACTGACACATGATACTAGGTGTTAATAACAGAGGAAAGTTGATTTTTTTATAAGAATGACAGATAAAAAATTTATATATATATATTTTTCCTAATATTAAATGTTTAAATAAAAATTTTTATTTTATAATTAATTTGTTTTATTACATTATTAAAACAATAAAATTAAAAAGAAATCTACATTTACATCATTGATTGGTTTTATTAACGTATTTAACTTTCACTGAATCAATCTCTAATTAAAAAGAAATTTAAATAAAATATTATCATCATTATTTTCTTCTTCTTCTTTCATTTTATCCATTTATATATACATATATTAAAACTTCTAAGTAATAATTTGCCAAAAAAAGCAGAGAAAATCAAATATAACTTGTCTGTTAACCAAAGCGAAGATATGTCTATAAACACAATATAAACAATAGAGCTATACATTTAGAATGACTTATGATAATTAATTATATTCCT